CTCCAATGGCATTGAAGCTGGATCAGAATCTGCTCTGATCTCGTTGAAAACCGTAGAGCGTGAGCAGCGGAAATTCGGGATGAACACGAAAATAACTTATCCCCCCGGGAAGCCCGCCTCCGTAAATGTACATCAACCCGGGGACTGTTCAGGAAAAAATTTGGCGGATGTGGAGGGTTTCGGGCTACTGTTTAAAAAGCGCATGCGCGCAATAAGTGTCGTGACAAACGTCGATGTGATTGGTCTTTCAAAGCTAAAGTCGTTAGCCCCCTCACTTCCGAGGCGAGGGATTACTTCCTGCAGCCTTGCAGTTCGCACTTGGTTGTGTACATGCTTGAGGTGTGCCCTCAAAATAAAAAGCGCTGAATGACCATGGGGACGTTTCTCCTGCCAAACTTCCGAATAACTTCATGATCATAATCATGTCTGGTGCCTGCTTATCGTTTCCAAGGAGCCAGCCGCAGTGAAGTAAAAGTGAGTGTGTTGGTTAATAGTTAGATCACATCAAAACAGACCACTTAGTTTGATTCGATCGCCAAACCGTTGATTTTCTCCGAGTTCCGTGGCACTTTTTGTATCTTCTTTTTTGGTTTGCTATGAGGGATGATCGTATTAGCTGAAGACCTTATATTTATATATTTTCACAAACTTCGGATTTCAAACTGCGCGTCAAACAAATCATGGTACAATAATCTTTGTGTAAAAAAGGTTCCATGATTTGTATGTGACCAGATACTGCTAGATTGCCCGGACCAAGGCAGGTGAATCTTCTTAGGGAGCTCACAACCGGAGCATTCGACTAACCAGAGCATGACCCGCAAGGATGGTTGAAAACCACAACCCATTAGAATCCAGTTTCCAGTTCATCGGATCATACCTTTTCGACGTTGTCAAGCACCCAATATAATACACCTCGATGCCCAATTGAGGCGGTGACTACTGACAACCAGGAAGGTGTGTGTGTTTGTGGTTCGCACGCCTCTTCTTGGTTGTTTTGGAATCAAGGTTTTTAGCCAAATCTTCTAGGTGAACTACCAGAGGTCCTCCAACCCTGTCATGGCGCCGGATGTCGGCTTTTCCTCCTCTCACTTTGGTGGGTAACACTGCCACTTGGAGGTAGTGAATAGAGCTCTCTCAGCAGAGGCTATTTGAGACGCTTGGTCGTTTGGGGGCATTTCACGAGGTGCAAAGGTAACCCTAGA